GAATTATCGAATGAACTGGTGAATGGTCTGTGTGCCCCTGGTTCGTGGGCTTCAATGTACCGAACGCCGCTGCATTCGTATAAAAATAAACGAATGGCTGGAAGTCCCAGCGGTGTTTGTGTGAAAAAGTGTCCGAAAACAGTTCCAAGTGTTCGACAAAACACTGCTTGCCGTTCGACAGTTTAAGATGGCCGCCGCCTTGTGTTCATGCATACGAACGGCGACCACCCAGCCATTTGTCAATTAAGCTGCGGTTAACCACAGCTTCTGGGAATTTAACAGGCTGCACACTCCACTTGTGGGTGGTCCGGCTGTTCGTCAGTTTGTTTGGTAAATGAACACCATAAGCCTGCTGAACTGTAGGAGGGAAAAGGCACGAACAAAGCCCTATCCACAGTCGTGAATCCAGGTCTAATACATGGTCCATAGTCACAGGGCAAGAGGCTGGCAAGCAGGCCTCTCCAAATCCCAGTGACGAAGGTGTTTGCGTCACAGTGGGTATTACTATCAGTGGGAGAGTATTAAGGGGGGGGTCTGTATTACTGTCATAGAGGGATTGTACAGGGTATTGGAGATTTCAGATGTGACCCACTCTCTCTCTTCTCTCCTCCAGTTGTCTGCCTGAAAATCCTTCTCAGTAAGGTCCTGGGAATTGGTATCATTGTTGGATCCATATTAGGTGAGTGCCAATATAATGCCACAAATCTCCATCTCCCCCAATATACCGCTGTACTCTGCCCCCTAGCTCCATCATCCCCATGATATCGCTGTACTCTGCCCCCTAGCTCCATCATCCCCATGATATCGCTGTACTCTGCCCCCTAGCTCCATCATCCCCCATGATGTCGCTGTACTCTGCCCCCCTATAGCTCCATCATCCCGTGTCGCTTTAACCTCCTTTTATCCATCCCATCCCCAGCGATATGCGGCTGTACTCTGCCCCTAGCTCCATCATCCCCATGACCTTCGGCTGTACTCTGCCCCTAATCATCGTCCCATGGGTATAAGCTGTACTCTGCCCCTAAAACTCATAGTCCCATGATATGGCTGGCCTCTGCCCCCCTAGCTCCATCGTCCCATGGTATGGCTGTACTCGCCCCTAGCTCCATCTCGTCCCATGATGTCGCTGTACTCTTCAACCCATCGTCCCCATGATATGGCTGTACTCTGCCCCTAAGCTCCATGGAGTCGATATGGCTGTACTCTGCTTTCGCTCCATGCGTCCCATGATGTCATGTACTCTGCCCCTAATCCGTCATCCCATGATATGGCTGTACTCTACCCCTGGCTCATCATCCCCCATGATATGGCGGCTGTACTCTGCCTCCCTAGCTCCATCATCCCATGATGTCGCTGTGCTCTGCCCCTAAGCTCCATCGTCCCCATGATATGCGGCTGTACTCACCTTTAAGCTCCATCATCCCATGATATGCGGCTGTGCTCACTGGCTCCATCGTCCCCATGATATCGCTGTACTCTGCCCCCTAGCTCCATCGTCCCCATGATATCGCTGTACTCTGCCCCCTAGCTCCATCGTCCCCATGATATCGCTGTACTCTGCCCCCTAGCTCCATCGTCCCCATGATATCGCTGTACTCTGCCCCCTAGCTCCATCATCCCCATGATATCGCTGTACTCTGCCCCCTAGCTCCATCATCCCCATGATATCGCTGTACTCTGCCTCCTAGCTCCATCATCCCCAGGGTACAGCTGTACTCTGCCTCTAGCTCCATCATCCCCAGGATATCGCTGTACTCTGCCCCCTAGCTCCATCATCCCCAGGGTACAGCTGTACTCTGCCTCTAGCTCCATCATCCCCAGGATATCGCTGTACTCTTCCCCCTAGCTCCATCATCCCCAGGATATCGCTGTACTCTGCCCCCTAGCTCCATCGTCCCCATGATATCGCTGTACTCTGCCCCCTAGCTCCATCGTCCCCATGATATCGCTGTACTCTGCCCCCTAGCTCCATCATCCCCATGATATCGCTGTACTCTGCCCCCTAGCTCCATCATCCCCATGATATCGCTGTACTCTGCCTCCTAGCTCCATCATCCCCAGGGTACAGCTGTACTCTGCCTCTAGCTCCATCATCCCCAGGATATCGCTGTACTCTGCCCC